ACTGATTTGTGAGGTTCTTGTTCTTCTGATATGCCCGTCATTGGTTGCTGTTCCGGTTACACTGTTTCCCGGTTCCGGTTACACTGTTCATCCCTGATAAAATTATATTTTCACTTTTTTTATCTAATTTTATTTTTTTTAATTCTGTTTATTTTTATAATTTAATTTATTTCTATTTTGTTTTTGGGGCCGCACCACTCTGGCACTTTGTGTCATTGTATCGGTTTTTTAATCGCGGTGCGATCCCTTTAGACACACATTTTAGTAGTTGTAAAATTCATATAGATATATAATAAATATACATATAATAATAAAGTTTTTATCAAAAATATGTGAAGTCTACAAATATTAGTTTTTGGTAAAATATTGTGTTACTAGGTTAAAATAACTATTTTATTTTGTTATTGCTAATGAGGTCTCATTCAACGAGATGAACAAGGTTTGGAACAAGATATTAGGCTGCGCATTTTACTAATACACCCCAAAATTTGATATTTTATTTAATAAAATAAATAAAAAACGCTTATTGATTTTTTAATCGTTATTCTTATGTGAAAAGCCATCTTATAATAAAAATTATGCGGTTTTTATTTATTTCGCTATCCTCCCTCAACTTATTTTTTTCCTATTAATATCCTCCCTCAACTTTTACAGTACGACAAATGTAAGTGTTATTATTATTTTTTAAAATTTATTAAACAATTATTTTAATTTCCTTAAAATACTGTCGGTCGATCGGCACGCCACTGGAAATTGACCTCAACCGTCTAATCTTTGTAAACAACTACATTGTTGCTGTTGCGCCGATACCCTATTCCCTTCTTTGTCCATTTTCTTTCGCACTCGTTGATTTTCGCAAACCAATGCGTGATGAAGGTTTAGAGCGTTTTTTGAATGGATCGTTGCATCTCCCGAGTTTAAATATCTTTGACACTGATAGATGTGTCTGTGGCTTTAATTTCAAACTAGTTGATTTTATTTTACAAAGAAATAAGTTATTACAATTTGAACGCATAATAGAAAATTAATATATTTAATATTTGAGTTTGAACTGACAAGTGATTATTTCAAAATATTGTGAAAAAAAAACTGTATAAAACTGAAAAAAATCTAATGGAGCTATTTTATTTAAAAAAAATACGGAAGTGTTAATAAAAAAGCCAACAAGGGTGTATGTTAAACAAAACACCACATACCAAAAAAATATAAAACTATTTGTTACTTTCAAGCTTCAAGAAACTTCCTGCATTATTATATTTATCAATATAACTTATGTACAAATATTTTTTTTAATATTGCTCAGGAATAAATAAAACACAACATTAATAAAACAAAATAGTTTATTAATAATAACACTTTTTGAATTTTATACCTTAAAAGTTGATTAATTAACTTTAATCTTAATTTTTTTAAACCAATACGTTTTGACATTATCTTTCTGCAGTACTAAAATCTATTTATATATCGTGTGATATCGTTATTTTACAGCTATCTCACTTTACTTTATTGGTGTATAAAACTCTCTGTCTGGGCACTGAATATTAACTATAAACTGTGCTCTGGGTCTACAAGTCTACAGTTAATTTTCCCTCGATTTTTCCTCTACTTAACATCAAAACACACGTATTAACACGAATCACAATGCATCATTTCCAAAAAACACAGGTTATTTGAAATAATTTGACATAAATTATAACCTATAATTTGGCAAAACTTTGACAAGTCTCAAAAATCTTAAGTCGTGAACATACTATCTGGGTCCGTGCATCGTTCATCGTTGCGTCACTCCAATAATATTGTAATATGATCTGTAATTTTTGAAATAAACCAATAAAACTGGTTGAAAACAACAAGAGACGACGCACGACGGATTTATATATAAACCCATCCATAGTAAACTTAAAAAATATTACAAACTTTTTTTACTGAAATAAATACAGGGTTGTTCACCACATACGACACGGAGTATTGTAGCTAAACGATTAGATTTTTACAAATTGTAAGTTTTGGGTTCATTGAAGGACTATTAGAGCTACAATTTAAAAATATTTTTACAAGATACAGAGTGTCCCAAATAAGTAAAAAATATTATAGTTGTATTTTTTTAAATGGAACACCCTGTATATTATTCTATTTTGGGATTCTACGATCGAAATAAAAGTAAATTTGATTAAGGTTTATCACACTTAAACCTTACCGTTTTTGAAATATTTTCAATTTTATGAAATTCTAGTAAAAATTTTAAGGCTTCATTTCTCCAAGGGTATCAAAGTTTTTAATGCTAAATATTTACTGAAAATTATTCATTGATTAGATATTGTGTTGCAATAATAAAAATTTTACTGCCTTATACAGAGCGTCCAAAAATTTATACTATATAATTACTAGCTTTAAACGGCAATAACTTGGTTAATTTAAATAGAACACCCTATATATTTTACCTGAAATAGATGCACAATTTAATTGTCTATCAAATTGTATTATACCATTTTTTACCTATCTCTTCAAGTTTTCATAGAAAATGCATTTTCTTATAATTTAGACCTCATTTATCACTACACCCATGGAATATTGACATTTCAGATTTTTTACAGCACCATATATGTACAAAATGTACAGGTGGTAAATATTGCAAGTTCATTGGCATAGAAAAAAAACTATTTAAATCTTTGTAAAAGAGTATACCAATTAATTATACCACCATTATTTCCTACCAAAAACACCAAAAATTAGTTAATTACATACTTAAATTGTTTTAATTAATAAAGTATTCTAAATAAATGTGGATTTGGCCCAGAAATCAATATAAAAATAAGTTATGAAAATGAACGTCTCTGTTTTTATAAATAAGCATTCGTCAAAAAATGAAATAAAATTTATAAGGTGTTACTTTTTACCACACTGTCTAATACACACACAAAATTGAGTTTTTTAGTATTTGGAGCAATTATTATTAATCAACGTAAACAGTCAATTAATGTAGTTTGAATACTGGGATCATATTAATTGGTCCTCTTTAACAAAAAAATATTTAAACGGTATTTTTAATTTTTTAATTTAAATAAGCCACTATATCGACAATTTTAGTAACCCTTTGAAAATTTGTTACATCTTTAAAAATAAGCTAAAATGTCAATATTCCATGGGTATAGTGATAAATGAGGTCTAAATTATAAGAAAATTCATTTTCTATGAAAACTTGAAGAGATGGGTAAAAAATGGTATAATACAATTTGATAGACAATTTCATTGTGCATCAGATTCACTTAAAATATATAGGGTGTTCTATTTAAATTAAACAAGTTATTCCCGGTTAAAGCTAGTAATTATTTAAAATAAAATTTTAGACACTCTGTATAAGGTAGTATAATTTTTATTATTGCAGCACAATAACTGATCAATAAATAAACTTCAGTAAATAAACCAAACCAAACCAAACAAAAAGTGCGAGAATATCCAACAATCAGGTTGGTTGAATCCAGAATGCCACGATGAATCTTCTAAGAATATAAAAATAAAACAATTAATTCTTGCTTAAATTATTTCTTCCTTAGTCTTTTTATTCATTATTGTAAAGAATTGCATTTTTATGCAACCCAATTCTTTTTAAAGTATTATATTCGATTTAATGAGCATTAAAAAATATCTGTATCTTCAAAATTCGTGCTATATGTATAAAGTAAAGAATAAGATATTAATGAATTAGTTAATTAGTTAATTAAATGATTAACTCATTCTTTTTAGGGTTCCGTACCTAAAGGGTAAAAATGGGAACCCTATTACTAAGACTTCGCTATCCGTCCGTCCGTCTGTCAAAAAGGTCTATCTTATTAACCGTTATAGCTAGACAGTTGAAATTTTTACAGATAATGTATCTGTTGCCGCTATAAGAATAAATACTAAAAACAGAATTAAATAAATGTTTATAAATAAAATGTACTTTCACTAAATATTATCTTTTAAGTAAGAATTTTACATAGAATCTTTCAAGTCCTCGGTGGCCGCGTGGTTAAAGCGTTAGGACTTTACGCTGCTATGGCATTGGAGCCGTAATAAGGCAGGTTCGGTTTTTTTTTAATTTTTACATATTTTTACATATTTATTTTTACTTTTTACATATTTATTATTGATTAATACAATTTTTAGTAATGTGTTTCTTCATTTTTTTTTAAATTACTTATACGCGCATTCAAAATTTCAGCTAAATCGGAAAAAAAGTTTATAATAATACAGTGTCTAATGTTGTATAGATAATGAATGGTACGGAACCCTTCGTGCGCGAGTCCGACTCGCACTTGACCATTTTTTTTAAGTTAAATCAATATATAAACTAATTGACCTTAATTCAATTAAAAATTTAATAATCTAAATAAATCTCGACTTTAAATAATTATTAATCATTCAAGTTATTGAATTATTAATTTGCATTTTGACGTACTTAAAATAATAAATGTGTTTCTTTACTTGATACTATAATTATGCGCAAAATAACAATACTAACTCATCTATCCTTCCTTTATTATTACCTACCTATTGTTATTATGGCCTTTTATAACAAATTTAACGCGGTAGACTGTCCTAACAACGAATTGGCTATTAGTAGTAGAATGGTAATATTGGTGGTTTTCAAAATTTTAGTGTGTCCTGATTAGTTATAGGCCTTAGGTTATTGTTTATTTGTTCGTATATTTTTTTACAAAGTCTTTTTTGTAATTTAATTTTATTTTTTTTTCAAAATATTTTTTCTACAAACATCAGTAAAAGTATAATTTTTTAAACGCATGTTTTCAGTGTCTAAAATGTAATTACTTTTAGAACTTGTAAACTTTGATTAATTTCTTTATCAAAATAAACAACATGTTTTGTTATCAAAATCAATTTTATAAAAGAATAAATATTTTTGATTTGTTTATTACTACAGGTAACTGTAAAAATAAATTAAACTGGTGTGCATTTGCAACATGTTTTTCTCTAGAATAAAATATTTTCAAACATTGTAGGGTAAAGGTACTGGATCTGGACATAGAACATTGCTTTACGGCAATGCTATTCTGCTCAGACATCAAAACAGCGATATGGTAAGTAGAAACCATATTTATACAATGCATAAGCATCTAAAAAAATTAATATACAGTATACAGAGTGTTGAAGAAAATTGGATATATGGACAAAAGCTTATTTTTAGCTTCTCAGAACTTTTTGATTCATGACAATCATGACAAAAGTCTTAACTTTACTAGCTCGTCAAAAACATTTTATAAATATTCCGTCTTTGTATTACTTCTTACTCGATGTTAGAGACACTGAGAAGCTTAAAATATTTTCCATAATGTGGCTATATTTCTCAATTGTTATATCATGAATCATTTTACACCTTATTCTCCTATATAAAATGTAATAATTTATCATATACATACCTGTAGGTGGACTATTTTTGGACCGGTTCCATTTGATGAGAAGTTATTGCGTTTTTGAAAATAATCCAGACATTCCAAAGATCTACCGGCATTCCCACTATTTTAAAACATTCATAATAATCTTTTTTATAAATATGTAAATAATAAATATTTTCTTGAAAAAACTTCTGGGTGTTTCGCGACTATTCTTACGTCAAATTTTAACAAAAATAAATGGGCAATACTCAAGATCAGTGATGGGCAACGAGTAAATATCCGACGAGTAGATAAGTCAAGAATTTTAGTTAAGTTAGCATTTGGGGCTCTACCTGCTATATACCCAGAAGGTATAGGGTATATATCCATTGAGAAATATTGTAGATATATACCCGGTATATACAGGTATATTCCTGGTTTTATACCGGGTATTTACTATGTAGTCTTCGGGTAATTCTCTTATAAGATCAAGGTATTAACCTAAATAGCAGCGTCTCGCCGTTGTTCTGTCGTGTCCTTTATGACTTAATCTTTACCCTGTATTTACCCAAATTTCAATATACAGAGGGTTTGCCCATCACTGACTAATGTATAGGCTGTGTCGATAGTATGAATGCACACATACATTTTTTACTTGATACTATTAGTTTGCCGGACCGATATCGGACAGAGAACGAACTGTGATCGGCATTATAGTGTGAATCGGACTTACAAATGCATCATCTACAGTTTTTTTGTTGTAAAATGAAAATTCTGTTTACATACGTTGAATTACAACAAAATATTTATCTTTATTTATTTTTAGTACTTGGCATGCTTATCGACTAGTTCCAGTAATGATAAGCTGGCTTTCGATGTGGGTTTGCAAGAACACAGTCAAGGAGAGGCTTGCTGGTGGACGGTACATCCAGCTAGCAAACAGAGGTAGTATTAGACACGATACATACAATGCGTTTAATAAAAGGTGACGATTCAAGGTCAATCATATTTACAAGACTTAATATTTCAACAACAAATAATAATATTTCAACCGAATCTAAAAAGATTAGGTTCTAAAAGGTTAGTTCTAAAATGTTCAAGCTGAGGATGCACCTGGCGAATCTTACATTGATACCCGCTGGCACCGGGTGGTATGACATATTTAAACGAATCTTTTTCTTTTTCTGCGAATGCAGGTCTACACCTGAGAAACATTTTCTCGCTAATTCGAACGAATTCTAACGAATGGTAACATTCGTCAGGTGTATCCTCGGCTTTAGATATGATCGCAGAACGTGGGTTCAACTTCTATATTCCACCACCCTTCAAAACAGAACAGTGAGTAAAACTGAAATTTCTCACCAGCTTGCACTTGAAAACGGTCAGTGATACATCTCACCGAAACATTGTGTAACTTAAAGACAATGGAAATTCGAACTTCATTTAGTATCAACACTCTTTTTTTAGTTTCTAGTATATTGAGACATAAGACACGTCTGACCTTGAACCGTCATCTTTCCTGAAATGGATTTTATAACACAAAACGACAAAACTCACATATTTCATTTCTTTTTCCTCTTGTAAAGGGGCACTCCATTGAGGGGTTAATACCTTTTTTCGTTAATTTGTCAAACTTTTTATCATTTCAACTACACCTACTAAAATACGAACTCCCATAGATCTGAAGGTGAAAAAGTACGTGTGGGTGACGACCTGATCTTAGTCTCAGTTGCTACAGAAAGATATTTGGTAAGAACAACGTTTATCATCATAAAATATACAATATTCTACAACAATTTTCTAAATTCCAGCACACAACCAAGGAAAATGAACTCTCCATCGTCAACGCTAGTTTTCACGTCACCCATTGGTCGGTACAACCCTACGGTACCGGTATATCCCGTATGAAGTACGTCGGTTATGTATTCGGAGGTGACGTACTAAGATTCTTCCACGGAGGTGATGAGTGCCTTACCATACCATCAACATGGAGCACAGAAGAAACTCACAAGTAACTTGTTACTAAATAACTTCAATATCAAATTGTATTTTCTTATTTTTTTATAGTATTGTTATTTATGAAGGAGGTAGTGTTATGTCCCAAGCTAGATCATTGTGGAGGTTAGAGCTGGCTAGAACGAAATGGGCGGGTGGCTTCATAAACTGGAGTCATCCAATGAGAATCCGGCACATCACTACTGGTCGATATCTAGCTGTAAAAGAGAATAACGAACTTTATCTCGTTAGCAGGTATTTATATATTTTTTTATGAAAACGGTCTTATAGGTCTTATAGATCTTTATTAAATACTGGCGGTAATAACTGTTATTTCTAAATATCTGCTAATGCTAAATAATTGTTATTTCTAAATAACTGTCATTTCTAAGTATTTGTTATTTCTAAATAATGTTGTTTTTAAATGACTGTTATTTCTAAATAATAGTTGTAACAGTTACTCTTATTTAAATATATATATAAAAATAGCTTATAATAACATGTTTATATCGTATTTGATTTTATTGTTAAACATTCAAAACGTCACAAAGAATGAGTATATTTTGATAATCATGTTTAATTTGACAATACATACGCTTCAACTATCTGTAATTTTGTATTAATGAATAATCATATATGATCGTTATAACCTATTTTTTACCTTTAACCCTTAACCAATCAATAATAAGTAGCAAAAAGAACTAAAAAGATAAAATCAGTATGTCCGCAACTTACAACAGTAACAACGCCTACAACAGTTTCAACTATTGTTTACGCTTTCCAAATCAAAAAATAAAAACTATTTTTAACTTGAAAGGCTGATGCAGTTTTGTGGGAAAAATTCGTCGTTTTCGGCTTTTCATGGTAAAGAATCGATGGCGGCAAACTGTTATTTACATCTGTTATTTTGCAGTAACAACTGTTGTTAGCCTGATAAAAATAATAGCGCAACAATCGTTACTGACATCCTCTCTAAGTTATGGTTCTCATACCTGTTATTTTTACAAGGAACAACTGTTGCTCCCTGTTATCTAGTTATTTTTTAGAAGTAACAACTGTTTCGAGCTTGGCAGAATTTTTTTTTCTAACCTTCGTTGTCAAGGCACTGTTATTCTCATACCTTTTATTTATAGAAATAACAATTGCCAATTTGTAAATAGCAGTTGTAAAATAAGAGATTTTTATCTTAACAACCCGTCTTTACTATTAAATAATATTTAATAAAAGCTGTTACGAATTGTTATTTAGTTAGTTTTTTTAGAATTAACAACTGTTTATAGCTTGGCAGAATTTTGAATCGCGGACATACCACCTTCACATCACAAAATATCGCTGTCAACGCACTGTTATTCTCATGCCTGGTATTTTTTTGGAAATAACTGTTGCGAACTGTTATTTATAAATAACAGTTGTAAAAAAATAAATAATAATAATTAAATAAACATTGCTTATGTTATATAACTATTCGAACAATATATAATCTGCACTTAATAAAATCCAATCTAAAATTGGTCCAATTCCTTACAAGGATCTGATTTTATAGACACAGGCGATTATCGTAAAATGCTCTTTGAATATTTTTTTGTATTTCTACAGAGAAGAAGCTACCACAGCATCTACAGCTTTTTGCTTGAGACATGAAAAAGACGACCAAAAAGTAGTTCTAGAAGACAAAGATTTAGAAGTAATTGGTTCGGCCATCATAAAATACGGTGATTCCACTGTAATCGTCCAACATTCGGAATCGGGACTTTGGTTGTCCTATAAGGTAAAAACTAAAAGAGTAAAAACAAGTAAATACTCATGAATGTTATTAATAATGTCTACATTTCAGGCCTACGAAACGAAGAAAAAAGGAGTGGGTAAAGTCGAAGAAAAACAAGCCGTACTCCACGAAGAAGGCAAAATGGACGACGGCCTAGACTTCAGCAGAAGCCAAGAGGAAGAATCGCGAACAGCTAGAGTCATCCGCAAATGCAGCTCACTATTCACGCAATTCATCAACGGCTTGGAAAGCCTGCAAGTCAACAGGCGGCACTCCATGTTCTTCCAAGTCGTCAACCTCAACGAAATGGTCATGTGCTTGGAAGATCTAATCAATTACTTTGCTCAACCCGAGGATGATATGGAACACGAAGAAAAGCAGAACAGACTCAGAGCTTTGAGGAACCGTCAAGACCTCTTCCAAGAGGAAGGAATCTTGAATTTGATCTTGGAAGCGATTGATAAGATCAACGTAATCACTTCGCAAGGATTCTTAGCTACTCTGGCAGGTGATCAGAGCTGGGAGATGATTTCCGGATACTTATATCAACTTCTGGCAGCAATAATCAAAGGGAACCACACGAATTGTGCTCAGTTTGCTAATTCTAATCGATTAAATTGGTTATTTTCTCGATTAGGATCTCAAGCTTCTAGCGAAGGTACAGGAATGTTAGATGTACTTCACTGCGTCCTTATTGATTCTCCTGAAGCTCTAAACATGATGAGAGATGAACACATTAAAGTAATTATTTCCCTACTCGAAAAACACGGTAGAGATCCTAAAGTTCTGGATGTCCTCTGTTCTCTTTGTGTTGGTAACGGAGTAGCCGTAAGAAGTTCACAGAATAATATTTGCGATTACCTCCTTCCTGGAAAGAATCTTTTACTACAAACTCAACTAGTCGATCACGTAGCAAGTGTTAGACCAAACATCTTCGTAGGCCGAGTGGAGGGTAGCGCTATTTACCAGAAGTGGTACTTCGAAGTGACGGTGGATCATCTGGAGCAAACCACTCACATGATGCCGCATTTGAGGATCGGCTGGGCTAATACTACTGGTTACGTTCCTTATCCAGGTGGTGGGGAGAAATGGGGTGGCAATGGAGTGGGGGATGACTTGTATTCGTTTGGTTTCGACGGTGCCTTCTTGTGGACTGGCGGTAGATCGACTCAAGTGGTTGGTGGTGTGGTCGAGCCTTACATAAAAAAGAGTAAGTTATTATTTATTATCTGGGTATTTTTGTAGTTCCACCAGAATACCTGATGGAATTTAAGTGCTTATAGATCTTTAAATAAGTAGTAGCACCGCTCTGTACTGGGTCTTGCAATTTCTATATCACACAATATACAGGGTGATTCACGGCCATGGTACGTTTATGAAGAGCCGGTGATAGGATTTTTTTAAATTGGGATTTTTGCATAAAGGCACCTGCTCCATCTACCAAATTATTTTAAGTATTACAGTGTTGCCGCTTCATAGTAAAAATGGTAGCATCTTTGTTACTTTAAATGGAACATCCGGTATATTATTACATTTTTCGAATCTACTTTCATATCTCAAAATTTTTCTATTATACTAACCTATACCTACCGGGTGCGTCTCAAAAGTGGCTCACCCCTATAACTTTTACTTTTTCAGTAAAAAAACGAGATTTGGTATGTTATTATATGACATAAATTAGGATTGATTGACGTATTTAATTGTTTTCAATCACTTCCTGTTTCACCGGAAATGACTACAACTTTTGATTTTTAAATGGCACCCTCAGTATATTTCTATTTTATTTGATAGAAAATGACACTCTGAATAGAGTTTATTTGAAATTATAACTTGCGGTTCGTAAGGAAAATTTGACTCGAGAGAAAGTGTGTGGTATCAAATTATTGGTAAAAAAATGCTTTTTCCAAATTTGCTAATGAACCACCCTCGTTCCATTTGAAAAAATTGAGATATGATTAAAAATAAGATATGCTCATTTTTTAACCGGCCAGGATAAGACACTAAAAACATTAGACAATTAAATCTGTTTTAACAAGGCTCCTTGATTAAGAATTAGTGTTTTTAACATAGCCATAGCACTCTAGGTTAGTATAATAGAAAAATTATGAGATATGAAAGTAGTGTCCAAAAAAATGTAATAATATACCGGCTGTCCCTTTTAAAATAAAAAAGATACTACCTCTTTTCAAATGATGTGGCAACATTGTAACGTTGGAAATATTTGAGATAGATGGAACAGGTGCTTTTATGTAAAAATCTAAATTTTCAAAAAAAATCATCACCGTTTCTCCATAAACGTCTAACGTACCATCGCTGTGTGAATCACCCTATATTTTTTAGTAACAATTTTATGAGTAATATGTTATTACAGATGACGTAATTGGTTGTGCCTTGGATCTTACTGTTCCACAAATTTCATTTACATTTAACGGACATTTGGTAACTGGTAGCTTTAGAAATTTTAATTTGGACGGCATGTTCTTCCCTTCCATTAGCTGTTCTTCCAAGCTCAGGTAAAGATTTACTGTTACAAAGAATTTTTGAAGTGAAATTTCTTTACTCGCGCTGGGAGAATAAAATCAAGGCCTTGACACACGAGCTAGCGAGATGAAAAGTGGTGTGGATCGCACGATGGTGTAAACACCAAAAATAATTTGATTTAAAGCTAAGAAAATCATTATAATAAACTTGGTACTGTACCTGTGTACCAATATTCTCTGGTTGTGTGCTAGGAAATAAATTTTCATGCATATTTTCATCGATAGGTTTGTAACTTCTGAATAACGGTCTAGGTAAAGCATCTAGCTCATTTGCTATAATTGCAATAATGATCAAAACATCTAAACAAAACAGACCACACGAATTGTTGGTTAGGTTCAAAATGTTTTCTCTTCTTAAACAAATTTTAAGGGGAGTTAACATTAATAGGTAGGTATTTGCATAAAAGTGTGTATTTTGAGTGGTATTCCACAAAATTATGAAGCTATTGAGGAAACAGAAAATGTACAGATTACAGAAGTAAATTGAAAATAATATTTATATTAAAACAGCATTGTGTCACTTTTGCAAACATGTCCTTCAAATCCTTCAATTTAATTGCTGTTAGAAGTTTCACTTCAAATATGCGCACATAGTGCACACACATTTTTTTTGAATGAACTCATTTAAATTTTTCAGTTGTCGCTTTTTGCTTGGCGGAGATCACGGAAAACTAAAATTTTCCCCTCCTGAAGATTTTTCACCGTTGGTTGAAAGCCTTCTGCCTCAACAAATCCTCAACCTAGACCCTTGTTTCTACTTCGGAAATATGAACAAGAACGTGATAGCAGGGCCGTTTTACATCGAAGATGACACTGCTTTTGTACCCAATCCCGTCGATACCTCCATGGTCTCCTTGCCTAGTTATATAGAATCTATCAAAGATAAGTTAGCTGAGAACATCCACGAAATGTGGGCGATGAACAAGATCGAAGCTGGATGGTCGTGGGGTGATTATAGAGATGATTTGAGGCATATACATCCGTGTTTGGTGCCTTTCGATAAACTACCACCCGCAGAGAAGAAGTACGATTCACAGTTGGCAGTACAAACTTTAAAGTAAGTTATATTTGGCCTCTTTGAATCTAAAAAGATAGATAAATTACCATAATTATTTAATAACAAAAATGTCAGATAGGCAACTGAAACACATAAGTCAAATTGTGAAAAATATCTATACCTATGTGGCGGATTCATCTCTCCAAAAAAGTCATATGGGTATTTCGTCACTGTAAGAAAATCTACAAAATAAAATAGTTATTTTTGATAAACACTGCTGCAATAATCCAACGGAGACTAATTGTCAGCAGTGGCTTACTATTAGACAAATTTGCCTAATGGACAATAAAATGCTTAATGTTTCGGAAAGTATATCTCTTTCCGTCATTGGAAGCAAAAAAAACACAAAGAACAAAGAAAAAAAACTATTTAAAATATATAAATGCAACTATTCGAGAACACTTTATTTTTTTTAAACAGATACGTCTACAAAAACCGTTGACGTTCTGTTAAAATGACATTATATCAAGTTAAACTTCAAAATTAACAATTACTACCTGATAACAATTAATTAAGAAGGTAAAACCAAGAAGTTTCAAACTTTCTGTTATATTTATTTTGTTTTTAATATTTACGTGTTTTTGTTATGTTCTTTAAAATCAAAGAAACGATTGCCATACATTACTAACATCTACAGATGCATGAGCAATACATTTATTTTTATTAGATTGTATTAAAAAAACCTCTTTTATTTTTCTTTTATGCTATCGCTTCTTTCATTATAATTTTTGCATTGTTAAAATCTGTTCTGTGCCCTGTTATAAAAGTCGCCCTTCCTTAAATAATCTATGTTTTTTAATTCGAACATTTAAGGGTCTAGATGTTTCAAATTGTGGTTACTTGCTTTTGCTTTTACTATAAATACCGTATTTATTTTAGAACCATCATTGCTCTGGGTTATTACATCACAATGGATAAGCCACCGTCCAGAATTAAGACGGTTAGACTCCCCCACGAGCCTTTCATGCAAGCCAACGGTTACAAGCCTGCACCTCTCGACCTCAGCGCTATCAACCTATCGCCTAAATTGGAGGAACTAGTCGACCAGCTAGCGGAGAATACCCACAACCTTTGGGCCAAAGAACGAATTCAACAGGCATGGACCTATGGGTTGAACGAGGTAAGTAATTCGTACCACTGTTATATGTCATCTTTATTTACATATTCTCAAAATAACTTTTGGCACAAAAACATTTCAAATTTATGGTTTCAGTCGAATAACTATTTAGTCAACATGTTTAATTTATGTCTATGACGACAGGTATTGATCATTTCGATTCCAAATATCTCGAGAACCATTACTCGTATCGATTTTTACCAAGAGACGTTTTTCACGTAAAAAACGTCGTAAATGTATATTTTTTTACTCAGTAGTTTTATACAGATACGGACGAAAAGTTATTACTGTTCAAACCAGTTAAAAATATGTGGGTGGCGCCCTCTACAAGTAGGAGTCAAATTTCTCATGTCTAAAAATTTTTTAGACACCAATTTTCATCCAAATATTGACGTTACTTCTGAAATTATTTGGGAAAAAATCGAAATATAAATGAAACTTCTACAACCTGTATCCCCAAAACTAAGCATTTTACTACACACATTTATACGAACTTTTTTACTTATTTTTATGTGCAGAATATGCACATAAAAATATAGAATATACTGTTTTTTATTTATAGTTCTTTTAAATCTTCTAGGACCCAGAGATGTTGCGTAGTCCTCATCTAGTGCCTTATAGCAAAGTAGATGACGCTATCAAGAAAGCTAATAGGGATACAGCTTCCGAAACAGTACGCACGTTGTTGGTATATGGATATATCATAGATCCACCAACCGGTGAACAACAAGAAACTTTACTGGCTGAAGCAAGTAGATTGAGACAACAAGCCTTTAGAACTTACAGGTAATTATAATATGTTTGTTCTTTATGTAGCTTTCTGGCTTTAAAAGTGTTTTTTTGTGTACATTTTACTAGGTTTGAATACACAACTATCGATTTTTTCTCCAGAATGTAGCTAATTAGGAATTAAATGAATGGCGCTTTTATTTAATTCAGTTTTTGTTTGAAGAAAGTTTTGTTATAAAGAATATACGGAGCGATCAACAATGATTGAATTAGTCAACAATGCTGTGCTAGAGAATTTTAGAATTAGTGATTGGTACTGATGCTAAAACAAATTATGTCCAATCATTGAGGTCATTTTTTTGGCTCGTCTATATTTTCTTGAAAATTTACGAATTTTTACTTTGTTTTTTGTGAAGTCGACATATTTTTGATTGTAAAAAATTACTCTTTTTCAATACCTTGCTGGCAACTCTTAATTTTGGGTCGGTATTTACATGTGTGGAAGTAAATTGCATAGGGATCTTATTAAGTCGGAGTGAAAGAAATGCGTCGATGTACTGTTACGGCGTTGCCACATTTCTCCGGTACGCCTTTCCCTATCAAGTAAAGTAAAATCACGATCGCAAACCGCTTATTTTTAAAAGACTTTTTTTTCGAAAAGATAACTAGATAAAATTATTACATATGTTTCTGAGCATCTGAAATGGAATTATAAGGATATCGTTAAGGTAGCCATATTTTTTATAACGAGAAATCGTCAGTGATCGCGATAATTTAAAAATTCAACTTTTTAACACATAACACGCGATAACTCAAGAACCACTTTAGATATTGAAACTTTTTTTATTTTTGAAATTCGGATTTTTTACAAGATGTTTAAATAAGAAAAATTCGATAGGCTTGTTTTCTTCATTCAAAATTTAAAAAAAAAACGTCCATTTACTTTTAGTGCATAGCAACTTTTTTATTTGTAAAGATTTTCACATATTGTCTGCGAAGAAAATATAGCAGAAATATTAAGAAAGTTTTTGAAAAAAACTACAATCAATTATTTCTAATGGATTTCGAGATATCAATTTTTGAATTCAGAGTTCTAATAGCGCGACCACCGTCGAACACCAACTCAATTCCACTTATTTTTACCAAAAATGCAAATGCTTCTAACTTGCACTTAAAAATTTACAAGCTATAGGGACAAATACAACGACTCGTTAATAAATAAACAAATAAAGTATCACGAGACATAATTAAATCGTGAAGCTGAACGCATGATATACACTCTCCTCTAGAATATTAAGTACTGATTGGGTCGACCGGTCGACCGCGACGAATCTGCTGTATCCCCGTCTTAGAAATGTGCACAGATTCTCCGTTTATTTCATACGTTTAGCAACGTTTTTACTGTTCTCTCTTTGTTCAGTACATTATAAACGCATTGTACTCTTCTTACATACGGAAATCTCGACCCAAAACTAACCTTTGCCAGCCAGCTTAATCGCAACTTATTTTTATTTCGGCGTTCAAAACTAGGTTATAAATTGAAGATAAACGGTGAAGCAACTTTTAAGGTCGATTTATAGATTGAAAACGGTGCGGTTGCGATTATTTCTATTGGCTATTACTAACGTTTCAAGGTCAACGTTCCTGTCGAAGTTAAAAGTTGGTTAACTTTTGACGTAAAACGTCAACCGCAACAACAACCGAAAAATTTATAATCAACAAAACATCCTGCGTAAAAAAACTTTTTACCGACCGTAACGTCGGGCGTCGAACCGCAACGTTTTCAATCTATAAATCGACCTTTATTCATCGAATCGCAATTTTGAGCACCGTTTAATTATTTAATAAATATCGAATTCAAATTTATTGACTAAACTATTATTTTTGCAGAGCCGAAAAAAATTACGCTGTCAGTTCCGGAAAGTGGTACTTCGAGTTCGAAATTTTGACAGCCGGACCCATGAGAGTGGGCTGGGCTAAAGCCGACTGTGCTCCTGGTTGTATGCTGGGTTCAGACGAGAATACTTGGGCTTTTGACGGCTATAACGTAAGTACCTCTTCAGCTTTCTATGCAACAACGCATCTAAACAATATATTGTTCATCTGTAGTCTAAAACTTGGCACGCAGGCAACTTCGAACCGGTCACCGTACTGCACTGGCTAGTCGGTGACGTAATAGGTTGTTTTATCGATATTATTGACGCGACTATCAGTAAGTCTGAGTGAGTTCGAGAAAAAATTGTTTGAAATCGTTCAGTCTTTGTGCCAGTTTAAAATATTCAAATCAGTGATGGTTCAAATATTAAGACAAATTATTAAATCTTCAGAGACATAGCACGAATAGAAAAGTTTGAGAACCACTGGAACATTACTAATTAAATAAATAAATTTTGATTATCTCAGTTTTTTGCTATAATAATGATTACGTGATTTTTCTGTATTATTTTTAAATATCTTTGTTTTGGCCATCACTGATATCGTTATATGTCTGTTTTGTTCCGCAGGAAGAAAAAGTTTATTCTAACTCTGCCGAATCTTTCGGAAAACAGTGGCAAGTGGGAGATGTTGTCGGTGTATTTCTCGATCTAATCGATCATACGATAAGTAAGAATGCTTGAAAAGTCCAAGAACGCGTTGCTTTACGCTTTACAAGCATCACTTTTTAATCACAGCTCCAAGCTTAAAATCCGAACCTGCTTAAATTTTTAATGTATCGGCTAAATATAAATTAACTTAGAGATATCTTCTAGAGATATCGCCAATATAAAAAACAATTTACAAATATGGAGAACACTTAAGGTGCGTGTTTTTTTTTTCACAATTTTGTTGTTAATGTAAATTTACCGTGACTTTGCCATGACTAAAGTAAACGCCATGAATGTTTGTGAGTGATTCATCGCTTGATGAAGTTAGAATCGACACGCGCGCTATCATTTTTACATTAAAAACGTAAATTTTTACCGCAGACGTAGGTTTTTAAAGGCCCGGTCTAATCATCTGCCTGCGCTCCTCCTACTTATTCTAAACTGTTAGCGTGATTGACAAAGACGATACTATATCGCGTTTGTTTGATTGATTCGTTTTTGTGCGTCAGTCCATTGGTGTGCTTGTAGTGCGACCAATGGGGCATTCCATTTTATATTTATAACCAAATATATGTTTTGACAAGACTTTGACAGTTAAAACAACAAATTACAACAGATTATATATTGATTATTATCATGACTTGAAACAACACGGCCCTGGAATTAAGTTTTATGTGACCTTGAACAGATTAGTTCACATGGTAGCGACCGATAAATCACTCCCAAACATTCGTGGCGTTTACTATATCTGTAATATCTGTTTATTTAAGAACAATCGTGTATTACTTAAACTATACCTACAATCCTCGAAATACACTACTCAACACAATTATCGCATATTTGAAATCAAGTAATTATTACATATTTCTAAATAAAGCATGCATTTTTCTGCCTTTCTCTTGTGAGTATTTTTAGAATAATTAGGGTACGCACTTACATGTAATTTTTAGTCGGCCGACTATCTAGTTGCAAAAGTGAAAACTATACATTCTTATGAAGCCTATCGGCCCAATATTTGATTACACATCACATTGCGTGGTCTTAGGCTATGCGCTGACAGGCAGTTTTTAATCGGCCGACTATTTAGTTGCATATTTGTAACCAATATATCCTTATGGAGCCGCGTTCACATGCAATTAAATAGTCGGTCGATCGATTATATAAGTATTTATTGTTTTTACGGCTTATTGTCAGCCTACATCATATTAGAGCTCCATTATTTTCATAACTGTTACTTTAAGGAAATAACAAATGTTGCGAACTGTTATTTACAAATAACAATTAAAAAAATAACAGTTTATTAAATATCAACCCTTTTCCTACCGATTCTGAGAGAAGCATTTTCTTTTTTCATACATTTTTACACACTTTAAGTTTTTGGTTTTCCGATATTGGCGATATTTTCGGAATTTCCTTTTAAATGGAAACACCCTTTTCTATAGGAGATAGACGAAAACTAATATCAGTGTCTGGAGCTCAATTTTCATCAAAAATATGATGGTGAAAACCGCACATCGATATCTGTTACCGTTTCGGAGTTACGGGGTGTTTTTCAAAAATGTGCATTTTTAACAAATCGCTGTAACTTTTTTGCTATGAAAAATTTTGTATTTCTATGAAAACATTTCCAAAGCACCTTTTTACGTAGAATTTAATGGTTTAAGTATAATTTTTTTAAAATTAATAATTTAAGAGTTATCAATAGAAAAATTGAGTTTTTATTTAGGACACCCTCTATATTTTTAATTAACTGAAAAGAATTTAAAATTACCTTTCCAAAAATATAGCACACTTGATATTGTGTTATAATCCCCTTCGAAATACAGAATTTTTAAAAGTTCGCCACTTTTAACTAGTATAGGCTTTGGACCCCTTTGATGATATGCCCTTAATGGAACTCGAAAACATATTTCCAGCAAGACGACGCACCACCTCTGAACCCTGAGGTTATTATCAGCAAATTTTTGCAGCCAATTTCAAGAATAATTGAATATCTAACCAAGATCCCAGCCATTGGCCGTCGAGGCCGCCTAACTTTGTGCCCATGGATCTAATCCTATGGATATATTTGCGGAAGAATAAAGGTTCCTTATTCTTTCGTATAATCTAGACAAGAATTAGAAATACTTAGCAGTTATGAGAGGGTATCTTTCATCCCCACTGAGTTAATGAATTCCGCGAGAAATGTTCAAAAACTGACCCGTCTGTTCATAACAGAAGACGAATGTCGAACACCTGTAGCAAAATCTCATGTTTTGGTTTGCTATTTATTTTTATTGTTATTAGATATATTTAAAATGTGTTGATGTTGGTTAAATATATTTTAAATTGTTATAAAATTCTGTATCTCTCATAGCAAATATTATTTTCGTTTTAATTGATGCTCACAGCTAGAATTTTTTTTCATTACAGCCGGTGCCGTTCAAAGCCTACTTATTTAAAGCGGGGGAATTTTTATATACTCTATATCTCGAAGAGGAATTGAGCAAAATATCAAATTGGTGTTATATTTTTGGAAAGCTAATTTTAAATTCTTTGCAATAAATTAAAAATATACAGGGTGTCCCATATAAAAAATCAAATTTTCTGGTGATAATTCTTAAATTATTAATTTTAAAAAAATTATACTTAAACCATTAAATTCTATGTAAAAAGGTGCTTTGGAAATGTTTTCATAAAAAAAACAAAATTTTCCATAGCAAAAAAGTTGCAGCTATTTGTTAAAAATGCATATTTTTGAAAAATCCCCCGTAACTCCGAAACGGTAACATATATCGGTATATGCGGTTTTCACCATCATGTTTTTGACAAAAATTAAGCTCCAGACACCGATATTAGTTTTTGTCTATCTCCTATAGAAAAGGGTGTTTCCATTTAAAAGCATCGAATTTGACCCACCCTGTACAGTATGAATCTGCTGTATATGCTATAAATATAATTAAACTAATTTAACCCACTTCCGCTTGAAAGATTTTTTCAATTTTTTTAAAGATTTGCATGTAACCTTTCAAACACATACATTTCTTATTATATTAAAATCTATTATTTTGCAAAGGTTTCTCACTGAATGGTGAACTACTCATGGACGCTTTGGGTGGTGAAACGACGTTTGCTGACGTCCAAGGTGATAATTTTGTTCCCGCCTTCACACTGGGTGTTGGTCAGAAAGCGCGGCTATGTTTTGGCCAGGATGTGAATCAACTTAAATATTTCACAATGTGCGGCCTACAAGAGGGATACGAACCTTTTTGCGTGTAAGCTAATAAGAATTGTCTACATCTATTAATAAAAATCTACATCAAATTTCTTATTAGACATCGTTATAATTTAGGGTGTATTCCGTTGCTTACCTTGGTTATGGTTTTATGTTCCGTTTCTATCGGTTTCCTGAAAGTGTTCTTATTACGGAACACGGTTCCTGAAAAATTCTGTTATAACTGTCACCAAACTAACCAGCGCGACAAAGCTGGTTTTTCTGGTTTTGTTTGTCAATCAATGTCATTGATGTGACAGAAATCAAGCAAATATTGGAAGTTCGAGTGAAATTCTCATTTAATTTCTAAAATTTGTAATAATATTTTGTATTTACATCCAAAAGCAAGTAAATAGAATGACTTTTTAGGACCATTTAAACTTATCATGCAGCCATTGTTTCTGAAAGTCAGGAACATTTAAAGAAAACATGAAAAACAAGACAACAAATAATCGTGAATGTTTTGTAAGCTATAAAAATAAAAATATTGATTAGATTTGTTTATTTATTATTGATCTGTTTTAATATTGGACCTGCAAATCTTTACTTGAGCTGTCTAACGAGTTTAACAGTTTATTAATAAAGTACTTTTCAATATTAAACTCCATTGAAAAGAAGAAGCAAACGTAAAAGCAGAGAATAGGTACATTAAAAATGCATAAAAGATAAATTTTATAATAGAGGTATTGAAATTTAGAAAACGTCAACATTTGACGTTTTCAGTATTTTACCGAACCGTTCCGTATCAAACCGATATTTTTCAGGAACCGCTCTTTACCGTATTTACCGGTCCGGTTCGCCTGGTTTTGCAACGGAATACAGCCTTAATGGCAGAGATTTTGAAAAAAAAGAAAAAATATATTAAAAAGAAAATTTTGGATAGAGTTTTTTTTGGAATTATGAATCACTTTTAATATTCTATTTTAAATATTACCCATTAACTTCAAAAATGATCGTATTTTCTACAGAAACATGAACCGTGCAGTAACTTACTGGTACACTAAAGACCAACCCATATTCGAAAACACCGACGACATGCCGGACACAAAAATTGACGTAACCAGGATTCTAGCTGGCTCTGACAGTCCGCCATGTTTAAAAATCAGCCACAACACTTTCGAGACCATGGAAAAAGCAAACTGGGAATTTTTGAGGCTCAGTTTACCTGTAATCTGCCACTCAGAGTTCATAACGTAATATTTGTGTATTTTATTAAATTATTCTCTCTATATTTATGTTAAAATTTTGGTTTAAATAGTGAGGAGGAAAAAATGAGACGTTGGAATGAAATCAAGATTAGGCAACACAGGCTTAAGGCTGAGGTGGAGCAGCAGATGACGCCAGCTCACATAGAGAATATCATGAAGAGCGGATTTTCAATGAGTGATATTAAAGGTAAGGTTGTATTTCTTAATATTCTTCTGACTTTTCTTTTATTATGATTCATATTCAGGAGATCGACAGGTATAGAGGTTGATTTTTAAATTTCTCATTTAAAATTGTGTTATTTTGTAATCATATCATGAATATTTTATTTTTATCTATTTTCTATAGTTTTCTATAGTTTCTACAATTTTGCTTGTTATAATAATGTTTAGGAAAGAAATATCAAAGTTTTTCATAATATTTATTTATATGATATACATTTCCTTACTGCAAACTTAGCCGGAGTCTCATGCTTCCGAAATCCGATGGTACGACATCCGAAATTTGAAGTTATCCTGTGAAATAAAAAAAGCCAGTCACATACATCCGAAAGTTCGTTCCGAATTTTGACAGTTTTGAAATTTTTCTGCTGCATTGAATAGAGATTCATGTCATGTTTTATTGGAGAAACACTTATAAAAATAACTTCCTCGCCAAATATCCCGAAATTGCCCACTTCACACTAAACTTGTTTTTAAAAACCAATGTTTTCAAAAAAAGTGATGGTAAAAAACACACAATATCGTACAAAAATACTTTATACGACGTCGGACGATTAGTTAAAAATATCGGATAAAAATTGGTGTCAAAGTATTTCGACCAATAGGAGCACCGTCGGATCGTCATGTCATCGGATTTCGGATGTATGAGTCTCCGCTATAAGTCCAATTTATGTCAATAAAGGCGTATACAGGGTCCTTCAAAAGTGCTATAAAAAAGTGCATACCGAAAATATGTACAATTTCAGGAACAAATTTTAAAAAAAAATTAAAAGCTTGGATCGGTATGTTTTTTTTTAGTGGAACACCCTGTGTATTGTCACATTTTTGGCTTCCTTGACTTAATCACTTTACATAGTCATAAATAAATAAAAGTATATATTTTTCAGCCTTCCCTAAAAAAACTATAAAAATAAGATGTGTCCTGAAATCAAAACTATGCTAGGTACTTATTATAGTTGGCCTGTACTTATTATAACTATCCTAATCTTAAGTCATACAGGGTGTTCAAAATTCTATGCCAAACTTTCTAAAATATAATATATGTTTTTTTTACCATGTATATAATTTTTTTGGTGGAGAAATAAAAAAATGGATTTTTTTGTATTTTAAACGTTTTTCCAGATATTCTCGGTGTTATTTACAACCATTAAGGTAGCTTTTATAAAAAGTTACTGTTTAAAGACATATGTGATATAATACAGCGAAAATTTGCGCAAAAATGCTTTAACTTTAAAATACAAGACATCTAACAAAACATAATATACAGGGTGTTCTATTAAAAAAAAAACATTAATTTCAACGTTAATTACCCATATTGTTTAGGGCTTCATAGGAACTACTCCGAAGACGCTGTTGAATCTGACGAAGTCCTCAAACAGCAACAGCAACAACAACATTTATCCAGATCTCCAACTCATGGAAAGGCAATGCCGGCTCGTCCACCAAGGAAAGGATCCCTTTCCAGAAATGCCAACGTCAATGGATTTGACGAAAATTGTAAGATACAAACGTTAAAATTATTTTCTTTATATTTAAGGTGATTGATTTCGTTAGATTTGGCTATGAACGGTACTAGAGGTGTTCACAGATCCACCAGTGAGTTGGATATGCACAGGTATCACGATGCGGCACCACAGATTGTAGTGGACAAGGCTGAAGATAAGAAAAAGAGAGGAAGATCACCTTTCAGGTAGTAATTACAAATACTTTGTTTGACAGTGTTAATACAGTATTTTCTAGAAAAATTGAGGATTTAAGCTTCACTGAGAACCTCACAATTAGTGGAATAAATTAGTGAATTTGATTATACTTTATACTTACGAGTTTAAACAAATAAATTTGTTTTAAAATACTTATAATTGTAAAGTCTTTACAGCCATCGTTCAACGTTACGTCATATTCCTCGTACTCTTATATCGTACTCTTTCCTTCCCATGAAAAGGGGATTAAATAGATTGTAGATATCATCATGACGTTTTGCAAATCAAAACACATTGTTTCTAGTAACTGTCATTTCACTATACAGGTTATGATCCTGTCGATGGATATAGGCTTGGTGCATTTCAGTTGATTTCAACAAATTCCGATCGCAGCGCACTCTACGGCAGAAATCAGAAAATATCAATATATTGCTCACGTCGCCGTCATGCCGATCGTATTAAAATAATATTGAAATCGGGGTTTTGTCATAATATTTAAGTATTTTAGTTTTTTGCTAGTGCAGTTATCGAGACTATAAAACAGTCAGGTACGAGGTTAGGTTAGGTTTGTGTGATGTAACGCTGTTCCGGGTAGTAAAAAATAAGTGAAAAAGAATTCGAACTAGGCGTCTTGTTGTGTTGTGACAATTTCAAATGTTAATAAAATTGACCAAAAAAATATTAACGCGTAAAGGAGAGGGTAATTAGGGCGTTGTTGGGTGCAATAACATTCAATAACTCAACTTTCCCGGATATTCAACTCTCCCGAAACAACATTTTATAACTTCATAATTTCTTACACCGATTCGATCAATAGCAAAAATGGATTCAAGCAGTTGGACGAAACAAAGTGCTCGTTCCATAATCAAAAAATTAAATAGAGATTTACTATGAGAGGATGAAATATAATTTGCAATATTAACGGTATACTTTTTTAATAACTAGTGATTAAATGTTTTATAAACATCTTCTAAAATTATAATTATGTACCTTAAAAAAAATTGTTATAGCCGAAATAGCTCTAATTATGTGCTCCACTAGCAAAACCGGTGATAAAACTATGCTCGCTACCATAGCTGAAGTCATCTAATTTTTGTTTTAACTGGAATAATAAATTATAATGCAAGTTAGACCTTCGAAAGATATTAATATATTTACCTTTTTATTTTTTTGTTTAGAATTTCCACAAATTACACTTTCTAACACTTTTAGAATAATTATACAGGGTGTCCCAGAAATAAGTGCAAGTATTTTAACTGGTAGTATAGTTCAACCCCAGAAACACCCCTATGAGGTTTTTTTCGCAAAAAAAAAATTTTGAAAATTCGAAATATTTTGAAAAAATTTTTGGAATTTTTTTTAGTTTTTAGTTAAAAAACATAATTTCTTGATAATATGGCAAAATAGGTATTAGATTAAATTTACAAGAAAGAAAATCCAGAAAAGATCCAGTGGTTCTCAAAATTTTAGCAAAAAATCATTTTTTTGGAAATTTTCAAAGTAAAATAACTCCGTTATTTTGGATTTATTTGAAAAACGATAAAGAGAAAATATGTTTCTATTATCGAGATCTACCACTCCTTATAATACTTGCACTTATTTCTGGGACACCCTGTATACTAATTTTTTCGTTTACTCGCCATTTAAACCCGTGTATTTGTATGTATTCGTTATTTACGAGTTCTCCGGCGGTGGCAGTACCGGCGGAGAATGCACCATGCCTATTGATCAGTATCAAAAAACTGTGTTGTGCTGTCCAACAAAATTAATTCAAATCCTTTGAATAAAAAGATTAAGGAAGGAGTAATGATATCCATGTATTCACGCATGGTCGACGGAAAGAGGACTCTAGGGTGGGGATCCTTGACAGTTCTGTTTGACGATTCGCTAGACACATTTGAATTTGATTTGAAATTTTGTGGATTTGTCAGTCTTTGCTGAGCTTATTTTATGTTTTTATTATTTATTCTGCTACTGATAGTTGTTTAAAGGTAGTAAGGAAATTGTGGCAGAACTTAAATTAACAGTGACACTATTGCGATTTATCGAAAAAGATTGTAAAATAGTTGGTTGTGTAGCGTGCGGTAGATCTCGGTCAAAAATCAAGGGAAATAATGGAATAACTTTGCGCTAGTATAACTAGTAAGTGACTATATAATATACATTTGTATGTGTAGTAAACCGATCATTTATGAAATTCACTTAAAATTAACTAATTGTATATTTTTTTCTTTGATTTTTGTTTTTATTTACTACTTGTCAAAGATTAGATGCAATGAATTTAGATACATCAATTTGACTTATATGTTTGTATTAATAGATAATTATTATAAGTCATCTATTTTTTGTAAACACTTCTGACAAGCAGTGTTGTTCTATTTTTATTAGACTTATATATTTTTATAATAATTTGAATAACTACCAACATGTATTCACAACGTAAAGTAAAACAACATATTATTGAGTCTGCCCCACGTCTACCCTACCTCATATTTTTACACGTTTGGAATAAAATTAAAACGGCACTGATAAACCGGAATTTAAGTCGGCCATGTTAGAGTCCCGTCACGGTCGATTTAAGATTTTTGATGTTTCCTTTATGTTTTCCTTATTTTTTTTATTTTTTTTTAGTTTCCATTATGTTTTCCTTATTCCTTAATCTTTTTATTCAAAGTTCAAATCCGTTTGTTTCTAATATGTTTATTAGTAAACCTTGTATGTACTGATCGTAACGTTGAACGATTGGTGTACAGACTATACTATTGAATAATCTTGTATTTTTATATTTGTTTTATAGATTTTTCTCCAAAAAACGTGGTGACACTTCAAGCGCGGAACGCGTCAAAAACAAGAAAGGTCGTACTCCTGAGCCCCACTCTGTCAGAATTGGTGCAGGAATGACACCAACAGCTAGATCTGTAGGTCTGTCCAACACCATGTTGTCAAGAAGTCCTACTGTCAAACCTTTACCGGTAATTAAAAAAAACATCTTTAACCTGAAGTTTGATTGAAATACCTATGCGTTTTAATAAACTATCATGAAACGCTGATAATACTGTATTATTATCATTGTTCCACATTATGTTTTTTTTTTCTTCAGGGTGAATCATTGCAAGTACCTTCCATCCCAGAACGTCAACAAAAACAGTTATCTGTTCCCCAAACATCAGACATCGAAGCAGTAGGCAACGAAATATATGATGCAGAATGTCTGAAATTGATCAACGAATATTTCTATGGAGTTAGGATTTTTCCTGGTCAGGACCCAACTCACACTTACATCGGTTGGGTTACTACCCAGTACCACTTTTTCAGCAAAGAATTCAACCAAAACCACGTATTGAAATCATCCGTAGTTATTGCTGATGAATACAACCGAATCATTGAATGGTAAGTATATTCTAAAATGAAATAATTAAATTTTAATAAATTAAGACCTTTCCTTTTTAAACTTAGCAAATTTTGTTAAGGGTAGTGGCCTCTATAGATCCAGTAATTTCAAGATTTTAATAAAGGTTATACCTTTTTTCGGAGCTAACTTTTTCACCTCGTTAGGTGTTAAATTTGCCTTTCCCACATGTCTACACAACCTGGAATGGATATAGAAAATATAATAAGACTATTAATCCTACCAACTGCGCCATGATTTTAAGTCCAAAATTATACGATTTCAGCACTATTTTTTACTTTTATTTTGTTTTAATTACGGATTTCTTCTGCCAAATAAATTTTTGTGATGCCATTAGAAAGTTTAGGTCTATTGTATAGCTCTCTTGTTTTCAAAAATTATCAGCAGATGATTCATTGTTTCGTATCTCCAGCGGCCTTTATGGATTATCTACATTCCCAATTTAACTTCTACGTATGGAATTGAAGGGTCCAGGAGAAAAACATGATAAGCGCCATTTTACTAATTTTACAGGAGAGCCCTGGACGGCTGGTGGTTATCAGGTTCTTGCCCTGTCTGTATATTTTTACTAGGCATATATGTTGCCCTGCAGAGTTTATACATTTTGTAGCGACCATTTAGACGTATAATATTGTAAAACTCTAAAATTAAGAAATTGGACCTGGACCCTTCAATTATTTTTGAGTGCATTCAAAGTATTCTGATATCGATAAAAAGGTTCTGAGGTGGCCTAGATGTCAACCTGAATTATTTTAAAACTACTTAAAGATTAATTTTCTTGTCAACAAGATGACAGTAAAGTAACAAAACAAATTATGTTAAGTTCTAATTAAAAATAGACATCTAAAGTTTTTATAAAGACTATACTATTTAAGGTCTAATTTTGTTATATATTTCTTTAGCATTGACAGACAATCCTGCTACATGGTCAGGGCCGACGAACTATACAACCAAGTGACCCAAGATGCTTCAGGCAAAGGTGCCTCGCAAGGCATGTTTATTGGGTGTTTCCTGGACGCTGCCACTGGCATCATCACATTCACATGTGACGGTAAACCTACCTCGCACAGATTCAAGGTCATTTGAATATTAATTCTACTTATATTACCATATTGTAACTATTTAATATATTTCAGATGGAGCCAGAGACTAAGCTATTTCCTGCAATCTTCGTGGAAGCCACCAGCAAAGAAATCATGCAAATTGAGCTGGGTAGGACATCTACCAGTCTTCCTCTATCAGCAGCAGTGTTGCAAAATAGCGCTAAGCATGTTATACCACAATTTCCACCTAGGTTGAAGGTTCAGTGCTTGAAGCCTCATCAGTGGGCTAGGGTAAGTCTCGTGAAAGAGTGTGTTGTAATAATGGAGAGAAATGTTTAATGTTCTTTCTACCAATAAAGTTCAAATTAGGAACAGCATTTTTTAATTTCTTTAACACGCTAACAGCAATATTCTTTATTTTTTAGTGCTTTATACAGGGTGTTTCAGAATAAGTATCGATTTTTTTCACCTAAAAAGTTCATATAAACGTGTTCTCTAAAATGCTTCGTTTTTGAGATACAAGTTAGTAGTACTTTTGAATGTCAAAGTTTTAAGATTTTTTTTCGCAATATCTTCAGAGTCAATCCAGATATTTTTATGAAATTTGGTACACGTTTTTTCACCATTTTCACCAGATTTCTCGATGAAAAATATCTCATATTTCTACAAATGACGTTCGTAAAAAATGGTACTACTTCACGATTTTTCTTACAAAGAAATTATTTTTAGAATCCTCATTTATTTTAGAATAAATTATGTCCCTTGGCTTTTTAGTTAGACCGCATGGTTTTTGCGTAAAAAAAATAAAAACCACTTTAATGCATGGAAATTACTCAAATATGATAATATAGTGTATTGTATGTAAAATTCGTTTTTGTCTTTTTTTTGTACAAACGCTACTGGTAAAAATTTAGAAAACATTTTTCATAGAAAATGCTCCTTAACGGTAAAAAGATGTGCACCAAATTTCAAAAAAATATTTAGTGTGGCTGCGAAGTTTTTTTATGCTATCATAAAAAAACTGTTTTTTTTTAAATTTTGACACCCTGTATCTCGAAAACGAAGCATTTTAAAACACATCTTTATATGAACTTTTTGTCTTAAAAATACTTGAAAAATCATTCTGAAATATCGGACGTTTATTCAGAAATACCCTATACACTATACGGGGTGTTTCAAAAAACATGTGCCATCTCTCGTGGGGAGATTCCTCACATAAAAATAAGACTTTCTCTTTGTTTAGTAGCTACAGGGTGTTAAATCTTAATATTTTTTCGATTATAATTTTCTTCCAAGTCCTTTTAACGACTTGGATGAAATTTTGAGGGTAAATGTTACTATAAATGCGACATATTTTAAAGCTAAAAAAGTGTCGACATATTTACCAGGGACGTGCATATGGGTTATCACTGGAATATTTTTCTAAAAAAAACATGTGCTCCAGTGATTTTTTTTCTCTTGTTAGCAATATTGTGTAGATCGTTTAATAAAGTTGTCAAAATTGTGTTGTAAAATTAAAAGTTGTCTCTTGCTATTTTGTCGATTTCGGTCTCCTTGATGAGATAAACGCAACATTTTAAATATGTAGCACTTATAGTAACTTTTACCCTCAAAATTTTACTTGAATCGCTAAAAGCACTTGGAAGAAAATTATAATAAATCTAAAAAATATTAAGACTTTAACACCCTGTAGCTACGAAACAAAGCAGAATCGGACCTATGTTGATATGAAAATAAATCCTATTTTTACGTGAGGAATCTCCCCACGAGAGATGGCACATGTTTTTTGAAACACCCTGTATATTTATTTAGGTTCCTAATCACAATCTTCAAGTCCACGCCTTAAAACTCTCCGACATACGAGGATGGTCGATGTTATGTGAAGACCCCATTTCCATGCTTGCCCTCCATATCCCAGAAGAAGATCGCTGTATCGACATCTTGGAATTGATAGAAATGGATAAATTACTGAGCTTCCATGCCCATACTCTTACACTGTACTCAGCCCTGTGCTACCAGAGCAACTATAAAGCAGCTCACGTGTTATGCAAGCACGTTGATCAAAAACAACTGCTTTACGCCATCAAGTCTGAGTATATGAGCGGTCCTTTAAGACAAGGATTCTACGATTTGTTGATATCACTGCATTTGGAAGCAACAGCAACTACTATGTGAGAACTAAATTTTATTTGACAAGCTTAATATTAATACTTAATAATTATAGGGAGGTTTGTAAGAACGAGTATGTTATACCTTTAGGTCAAGAATTAAAAGACTTGTATGAAGACTCAGAAATGGGACACAGTTTAAGACGATTGCAAATAGAGTCTGTAGTACCACAAATGAAAACTTCGGAAATAAGGTACCTACATCTTTGAAATATGCAATAATACACGAAAATTTTTTGAATTGTGTTTTTGATTTCAGCGACAATATCGAAAATATCAAGAGTTTGTATTCACCCTATTTTCCGCTGGATGTGGTTCGTGACTATGTGATGACCGCCTTAGCTGAGTCGGTTGAAATCAACCAAGTACACAATAGGGATCCTATAGGCGGTTCAAACGAAAACCTATTTTTGTGAGTTTAGAATTTTACGTTTATTTATTTATTGCTCTATACAGGGTGGTCCGAACTGTATTCCGGAAACTTCAGCAGTATATTCTGCAGATAAAAATAAGTAAAAAAGTTCGTATAAATGTATGTCATAAAATGCTTAGTTCCAGAGATAGAGGGTGTAGAATTTTCATTTTTATTTCGATTTTTTCTAAATACTTTCTGAAGTAACGTCAATATTTGGATGAAAATTGGTGTCAGGGAGTTTTTTGACATGAGAAATTTGATTTTGATGTCAATACGACTCCTACTAGTAGAGGGCGCCACCTACATGTGTTTTAACTGTTTTGAAGCGTAATAACTTTTTCTCCGTACCTGTATAAAACTACCGAGCGAAAAAATATACATCTCTGCAATTTTTTACGTAAAAAATATCTCTTTGTAAAAATCGCTACCAGCAACCGTTCTTAAGATATTTAGAATGGAAATAGTAAATACATGTCATTATTACGAAAAATAAACATGTTGAGTAGATAGTTATTTCACTGAAATAATAAATTTGGGAAATTTTTATTTTTTTAAATTAATAATAATTTTTTCTGCAAAAAATTATGATAAAACATTTTCTGTTGAACATTTGGCACAAAAACATTCCAAATTTATGATTTCAGTCTAATAACTATTTAGTCAACATGTTTAATTTATGTCAGTGATGACAGGTATTGATGATTTTTATTACAAATATCTCGTAAACCATTACTCGTAGCTATTACCAAATGACCTTTTTTACGTAAAAAATGTAGTAAATGTATATTTTTTTACTCAGTAGTTTTATACAGGTACGGACGAAAAGTTATTACTCTTCAAACCAGTTAAAAAATATGTAGGTGGCGTCCTCTACTAACAGGAGTCATATTGACATCAAAATCAAATTTCTCATGTCAAAAAACTCCCAGACACCAATTTTCATCCAAATATTGGAGTTACATCAGAAATTATTTGGAAAAAATCGAAATAAACATGACTTCTACACTCTATATCTCTGAAACTAAGCATTTTAGGACATACATTTATACGAACTTTTTTGCTTATTTTTATCTGTAGAATATGCTGCTGAAGTTTCCGGAATACGGTTCGGACCACCCTGTATATAAACTAATCCTAGTTAAAAAATTATGCAATTGAATTTTCGATTGTTTCTTTCTAAAATAACTTATAAAATATTAGTCCCAATAGAAAATTTAATAGATAAGGCTTAAAATTCTACTAAAAAATGTAAGTATTCGTTTCTATATGGCTAGAAAACCATAAATGGATATTTAAAGCATAATCATATTGTTAATCCTACTGACTGCGCCATTTTTATAAGACAAAGAATTAATTATTTCACAACGGATAATTGTTTATTTTTCAAACGTCACAAAAGTATTAATTTTTGCAACTTGATTGACATTATAAAAAGGTTTTTTAACGCCTAGGTATAAAACTAAAGCATTTTTACGGCTAGGCACAAATGTACAAAAATATACTGTCAACAAACGTAGAGCCTCACTACCGGTTTTCGGAGCCCTACTCCATCATCAGGTGAGCTTGGGTAGATCCATAAAATGACAACCACAGCGCAGAGATAGTTAAGCATTAGTGAGAGCAGGTTGATCCACATTATGACAAACACAGCGTAGAATTAAATTTCTATATCAGCAGTTAAGTGGCAAGAATCCTTATATAATTTAATTATACAGGGTGGCCCATCGAAAACGTTCCGCAAGACATAACGGCCAGGATATTTTTTTTTCAAAAAATCCAAAAACACGGTTCAATTTTGTTTGTGAGGGGGACAACTTTCGCCCCAAAAATGATTACAAAATCTTCAACCCTCTAAGCGGGGGTGTCATCCCCCAACTTTTTTCAAATGGGAGGGGGGGGGTCAAGTGGCGCCACAATGAAAAGAGCTTTCTATTCTCTATATTTCCCCGCTTCGTTTTTGAAAATCGGTCGAGTCATTGAGAAAATATGAAGGATTGAAATTTGAAAAGTTTATTTAAACATTTATCAGAGTAAATGATAAGGATAAATTCCTTCGACCAATTTGCTGTTTTTTCTTATTATTTCTAGATGTTTACGCATTTTTTCACTTGCCACAAGATTGAACGATTAGGTGCGGTCTCAATATCGTTAAACTGACCTACAATAGAATTTCCAAAAATACCAGCTCGCGACGATCAAAATCGTCTTCGTTGAATTCTTGTACCAACTGAATTTTGTACGGGTGGAACTTGTGTTTTTTTAATATTGTTTGGACACTTGTACGATTCACGCCGGTCGCGGTCTCATTGGCTAATTTTCTTGTACTCATGGCAACTTGGCCCAATACGAATACCTCCATAGCTTCATTTACTACAGGATTTTCCCTCTGCCTCTTTTTATTCATAACGGAACCAGTTTCGTGAAATTTTGCTACTAAATCGCGAACAATTTTGCCATAAAGGTGTTTGTCGGGATGGCGTTCATTGAATATCTGCGCAAACCGATTGCCACATTCATTATTTTTAAAATAAAGTTCGATTATATCCACTTTTTCTGCAAGTGAGTACACGATAATTGTTAAAAAGTTTAACGATATTGAGAAGAACTTCAACGCACAAGTCACAGAACAGCTATCTAGCAACTACCGCACCTGATCGTTCAACCTTGTGGCAAGTGAAAAAATGCGTAAACATCTAGAAATAATAAGAAAAAACAGCAAATTGGTCGAAGGAACTTATCCTTATCATTTACTCTGGTAAATGAGTCCCCTAAGTGCAAAACTCGGTATTTGCTAGTCACGCAAATGTTCAGGAAACCAAAAAATTTGTCACTTATTAAAATACATATGGATTTGTTTTAAATCTTGGTTTTAGTTAACTCTAGTCATATCGATTTAAAACTACTATTCTTTTTAATTTGAAATCCTACCAAAAACTAAAAAAACTAACTTTTAAAATTAAAATACCGAGTTTTGCACCTGTGTTTTGAAAATACCCAGTTTGCTACTCAAAATTGCCCATACCCATAAATATATACTAGTGGAATTTAAAAATTACTTTCAGATTAAACCCATTTTCTTTAAATTGAAGGCACAAAGTAGTGCTAAAACATTATATTTTAACACAAAAAAATATTTTCTAACTAACTAAACAAAACAGGTGCGTACTTTGAAAAGCAAACTTTCAAATTCCAAGTCCTTGGAATAATAATAATCCTTACAAACAAGAACAGAAAAAAGAAACTTTTCTAAACTAAAAAACATGCAGGTTCTTAGGCACTTTAGGAAACAGGTTCCAAACAACAAGGGCTTAGATTCTAAGTTCTGGATTTTCTTCTTCCATAATAATTAAGCCGTCTTCATCTCTCTGTTTACTGTTCGTTTTCTACCTTTGCCAATTTCACAAATTTTTATTTTAACGAAGAATGGCAAACACGAGCGATGGTAATTATTACTACTGCCCTTTACCAAATCCAGATAAAATAATAGGTCCGATCGTTTTCCTGTTATTATCGATTCTGAATCGTCCTAGAACTCTCCAGCGCATGCGCAAATGAAATAATGTCTTCATATTTCCTTCTGCGCTTACGCATGACAATTCAAGGACGGTTCAGAATCGGTAATAACAGGAAAACGAAAAAAGCTAATAATGCATAACATGCCTACGTGCACTTAATCACGCGACCACATAAGGCGCAACGCCATTGGCCAATTGCATTTACACAGTTTTGCATCTGACAAGTGAGAGCAAATACAGAGTTTTGCGTTTAAGCTTTGTTTTCAAATGTATTTTTAACATACATATACACAGTTTAGCAACTTACTAACTAGCAGATAAGGTGCATGTTATGATAAGCAAGGGAATGGCGCGAAAATCCCGCTTTTCAAAATTTCGTCAAATACCGAGTTTTGCATTTAGGGGACTCAAATGTTTAAATAAACTTTTCAAATTTCAATCCTTCATATTGTTACGTTTTTCGTCGGTTCCGTGTGGATAGAAAGTCACAATTTATTTAAACACTATTTATTTAACACTAATTAACAAAAACAATAACGATTAAAGACTTATAGAACTATTTACAAACGATTTATAACTAAGAATTTATTTTGAATTTTAGCGCGTCAACTGCACTGGTATATTTATAACTGCCCTCTCTAGGCCACTGCCGCCGGCTTTTATACCGACAGGTAAAGAAATCTAGAATAGTCCAAAGATCGTTAGGCGCATAGAGAAGGTTTTCGAATGTTCTCGTATGTACTAGTCCATTCTAGTGGGTCTCGATTCTTCTCGAACGAATGAATCATTGCGGTGTCTATGCGATGTTAAGGTCATCCGAGGGCGGGCCATATTGTGAGGTTAGGTCGAGTCCACACCGGCCCGCAACACTGCCCCCTTCTTAGGCACATGCTCGTCCCGAGATGTACACGGTGAATGAAGGTATTTGCAAAGCTGGCCCCTGGTACATTGCGAAGTCTGGTAGAAATAGCAGTCTACAGTTTTCTCTCCCGATCTCAGCTTTGGGTTGTAGCAGCAAACGAGGATCTCGATTCCCGTAAATCTGAACAAGACTTCAATCATGTTCCGGATTGTACGCCAACTCAAACCATCGAGTCCACACGCCAGCTTCGGAATGGCTAATCGTGCAATGTTGTTGTTTAGCAGGGCTTCTCTCAGTTCAATCAGGGTCTTCCATAGATTGAGATAAGTCGGCTTACTCGGGGACCATTCCTTGGTGACCAGGTAGAAGATGTGCCTTGCTTGACCATGTGCATTGTCGGTTAGCCTCAAGACGCTTCCAACCTCTGGATCCTGTCGGCGTAGTTCTCCGACACGCCCAAACTTCTCATTGAACGTCGCAGCGATTCCTCTGGACATCCGCAAATCTCGAGCCACACAATGAGCGAGCGAATAATCAGGAGGCACGGAAAAGAGGTCTCGTTGATCTTCTTTGGTTACACCATAGCGAGCCTTCTCACTGCTGTTGTATCGGGCCATGAA